TTTGGGACTCTCAGCGTCAAGGAAAGTGATGCACATTTGTCTTAGAAAGCAGAGATGTCACTAATATGTACACTGCTGGCCCTATCCTCCTCTGGTTCTTATCAAAAGAATTAGTAAATTAGCATGTTTTTAAAATATCTATTTCTGGATATTTTTTGGAAGATACGCAATGTGAGTAGCAGTGGGTGTGCTGCCAGCTGTCATTTATGAATATCTAACAATGTAGCTTATTTTAGATTTACATGCTAGCAAGAATCTGAAATGATCACTCTATCTCAAATAAGTAAATACATCTTTTAAAAAGGGGGAGGTACCTGGGTGGCACAGTCTGATAATTGTCCAGCTCTTGGTTTCGGCTTGGGTAGTGATCTAAGAATCGTGATATCAAGCCCCGAGTCCACCTCCATGCTCACTGGGGAATCTGCTTGTGTGTCTCTCTCTTCTCCCTCTGCTCCTTGCCCCCACACACTCTCTCTCTCAAATAAATAAATAAATAAATAAATAAATAAATAAATAAATAAATAAATCTAAAAAAAAAAAGAATCTGAAATTATCATTGGTAAAGCATATTCCACCCCACAATTTAGGTGGGCATGCATCTCCTCTTACCTTTTAAATACAGACAAATGAAGATCTAGGCTTTCTGAATCTTGGGCAAAGCTCTACAGTTAATTGTCAGAAGTATGTCATCATGCTGCTATAAACTCACTAATCCTTTTCCAACCCAAATTTTTGGACAAAGTACATTATTACTAATAAAGAAACCATTAATCAGGCATTTTGTTTGTAAGAATTTCAGATTGTCAGTGTTAGGAGAAAGAAGGTCTAGAATGGTAGAAAAGGATAGTTGTGCTAGTCTAGTGATTTTGAGAATGCAGGAAGGCCAGGTAATGAGGGTTTTGGTGAGAGGGTGTATGAAGACATTGACCTGAGGCCAACCTGGAAGGGAAGGAGGAAAAAGGTAGGATACTGAGCTACACTTGGAGGACTCAGGCACGGGGGCTTATAGTGAGACTGAAGAAATGATTTAGAGGGAGGAGTAGAGGCTGAATAATACTGAGTAATTATAAGAAAGAATTTCACTGAGATACAGAGCTGCTTTTAGCTTTTCCTGTGGATGAGGCCAATTGCTTTCTTGATTATATTTTACAGTCTTTTAGGGAAACTTTATATTTGTCTTTTCATTACACATATATTTTATTAAGTAATGTAACTTTCATATCTGTTCACAGAATTATTACTAGAGACTAAAGAACCTTGAAAAGAAGTGCACATATTTTTTTATTATTGTGTACCTTTATAACCCTCAGAAATTCCCTCATCTCTATAATTTATTTCAGAGAAGGCATACTTTATATACTTTCCCCTTTCACAATATTATGGGTCTCCTTAACTATTGGTGTACATAACAATTTTTAAAAGATTTTTTAAAAAATTTTATTTGAGAGAGAAAGAGAGGAAAGGAAGAGAAGCCCAAGCAAACCCCCTTCTGAGTGTGCAGCCTGACCCGGGGCTCAGTCTCATGACATGAGATTATGACCTGAGCTGAGATGGAGAGTCAGATGCCTAAATGACTGAGCCACACAGGCACCCCTGTTTATAACATATTTTAAAATCATCCTTAATGTTCTAAGATTTAAAATTAGTGACCATCAGATAGGATTTAATTTGTAACACTGATGCTCACAGAATTTAAAAAAAAAATGATTAGTGCACACAAGGAATAGTTCATGAGCTTCTAAATTTATAATGGCAGATCTTATGTAAATTATGGCTTAAACACAAATGGCATATTTTTGAACAACATACTTGATCTTGTGTGTGTGTGTGAGAGAGAGTCTGTTATTCACTTTTTCTGTGAAAAGTAAAAGCCAAATATGAAGTGTAAGAAAATGATGACAATGGTACACAAAAGAAATACAACAAAAGAAACAACATGAAACCTGGTTTCAAAGGACAAAGGAAAAAATCCAAGCTCTTCTAAGAACAACTTGAGTAACATTGGACAGTGATTCAACATGCTTGAGACCCATTTTTCCTTAACTTTAAACAGGAGGATTCTGTCAAAATATCTACCTCACAGTTAAGTGCATACTATAAATCTCAGGAAAATGTTTTTTATAAGACAGAATAACTTGTTAATCAGCTTCTAGAAAGAAAGAGTAAGAGTATCTTCATGCATAATTTTGAACACTACCATTATTAAATATTACTTTATTCTATGAAATGTGCATACTTTAGGGAAAAGGACTCCTTTAGGGAAATGTGAAATTTGTAGCACTAAAAGCTCAAAATTATACTCAGTTCTTACATATGCTGTATTTGTTAATGGTAATATAAAAATGCTTAAGTTGTTCAAGAACAGAGAGGTAAAAGTACAGATCAAATTTAAAAGCTATTTTAAATCTTACTTTAAATTGCACAATTTAAATTATAATATAAAAGACGTTTGATAATGTTGAGTGCCCATGAAATATCTAAGAAAGTTCATTTTTTCTAAACTTTTAAATACATTTCTATATCAAGATTAAAGTTCTATAACTTTTTGACTCATTTACCTGAAAACATTGATTCTAAGACTCCCCGGGGTATAGGGGGGAGGGGTGTGAAAAGTAGATGCTTTAGGAATTGCTACTGGCTTTTTAAAAATGTCAGCTTCACATTTTGACACTGAACTATCTCATTCCTTCCTTCTGGCATTCTCTTCTCATTTATCTAGCATTTGTGACTTGTAGACAAGGTAGCATATTATTGAAGTTAATATGAAAGGCTCTGAGTCAAACTGCTTGCATTTAAATGCCATCTTTACCATTTACTGACTAGCAGGCTTTGGGGAAGTAACTCAATATTTTTCTGTTTCAGGTTCCTCATCTGAAAAGAAGGGAAATTAACAGTAGTTTCTCCCTTATTAGTTTGTATTTACATATGAAAAGAAATTATCAACATAATATATATACACACACATATATACGTATAGATGAAGCACACATCTGGCACATAACAACTCAATGTTATTTTGGTTAGGTTTTTTAGATCCGAAGTTCTTTGAAAGTTTAGCAGAAGGTTATAGCAATACCTTGTAAGATTTTAACATTATCTACTAAAGGCATGTAGAAAATAAAATAATTCTGATATTGTTTCTTTAGTCCTGAGCAAGAAGTGTTTGTCAAACAAGACAGACTAGCAGTTCCTCTCTTCAAAACCAAAAATCATTTCTTGATCTCTCAATGGAATTTTTGACATTAACCACTTCAGATACAGTGTATAGTAGAAAGACTCACCAATTACTAAGTAATGAAAACATATATTTTTTTTTCCATGCTGAGTGGTTAGAATTCTACTAGAATCTGACTTTCTGAATACACACAGAAATGTAGAGCATGATTTCTGTTCTAATAAACTAAACACTTAGGTGAGGAAAGAAGGCATGTATGTGAAAATATATGATGGAATATGTATTAGTATTAGCCTCTGAATGCAAAAAAATTAAGCCTCCATTGATGAGGTGAGTTTAGAGTGGTTTGGAAAGAATGAATAATGTTTGAATAGGTAGTAAGGGGACATTCTAGGAAGAGAGAAATGTAAAACGCTTCAGTGTGTGTAGGAGGGGACATTTGGATCAGATGTGAGAAATCATGATGAACTCTAAATGCCCACTTCTCTATGGTCAGTAAATGGCAGAAATTTTGCAGATTTCTCTTTAGACCTCAGTAGCAAATGACCACATAATCATTAAACAGCTGATGGAACCCCCTGATCTTTGTTACCGAATTCAATTTTATGTTGTTAAATATGTGACATTAGGTGAAATATTAACTATATATGACTTTTCTTTGAGTCATATTCAGTCACTTATCTGGTCAATATTCAGCTATTGACTTGCTTATTTTCTATCCTGATATATTAAAGGGTTTTTATGTACATTATAGTTTATTATAGTTATGGCCTCAAATATTTATCTGGTCAATATTCAGCTATTGACTTGCTTATTTTCTATCCTGATATATTAAAGGGTTTTTATGTACATTATAGTTTATTATAGTTATGGCCTCAAATATTTTGTTTAGTGCTGTGCTGTTAATTTGAAAGTTGTTAACTGTTCACTTATCTGGTCAATATTCAGCTATTGACTTGCTTATTTTCTATCCTGATATATTAAAGGGTTTTTATGTACATTATAGTTTATTATAGTTATGGCCTCAAATATTTTGTTTAGTGCTGTGCTGTTAATTTGAAAGTTGTTAACTGTTCTAGAGTCCAACAGGCACTTGGATGTGGGACAAGAGTTCTAGCTTATAAGTATAATTTGATAGATGGTGTTTTCTGAATCTGTGAGAATACATATCTGAATAACAAGTAACATGACAGAAAAAAAGTTGTGAGTGGCTCATTTTCTTATGCAACATAAAAAAGAAAAAAACAGATTTAAAGACCATATAAAAATTGAAAAAAAATATGTTTTAATAAGGTAAATTGTCATTTCAAGGAAAGAAAATGGGTTTGTGGTTAATCAAATTAATATCTTATAGCCTGATTATTATATCATCAGAGAAAAACTTAGGAATTATATCCATTCTTTAAATGTAATGGGTTACAATACTTTATACCAAGGATACCCTTTTGATGGTATTATTTCTTAGCATTAATTAGTTTCTTTTTTTTTATAACTTTCTTTTTTTTAATTTTTATTTATTTATGATAGTCACACACAGAGAGAGAGGCAGAGACACAGGCAGAGGGAGAAGCAGGCTCCATGCAGAGAGCCCGACGTGGGACTCGATCCCGGGTCTCCAGGATCGTGCCCTGGGCCAAAGACAGGCGCTAAGCCGCTGCGCCACCCAGGGATCCCAATTAGTCAGTTTCATTAATCTATAAGGTGTCTATTATTGCTTTCCATTTTTTATCTCATCAGCCGACTTAGATTTATCTCACCAGCATCAAATAGTTACCAAAAATGTGAATTCAAAATGTGTTCCCTTCCCTTTTTCTTTTCCTTTTAGGGAAGTCCTGAGGGGTTTGACACTTTTCATCCTCCAGCCATTAATCATCTTATAGGGAAAGGCTGTATATTGGTAAGTCTCACTCATTCTTATTGCTCTTTTTACAAGACTTGATTGTAATACAGAACAAGGATGATTAAAGACATACTAACATCTTTGCTTAGCTAAATAGAGACTTTTTTTTTTCAAATAAAATTTGTTACATCAGGATTTTGTTTTGTTTTTAATTAATCTTCTAATAGGAGTACTATCAAAACCTATAGTTGTAAATTAAAATTACGTAGAGAATGGAAACTAGTAATTTTTTTCAAATTCTAAAATGGTGGTGGTGGTATTACTTATAGATAATCTTTATTATTTTAATCTTATTTTTACAATTTATTTATTCATTTGAGAGAGAGAGAGCGCGCATTTGAGAGAGGGAGAGGAAGAAGCAGACTTCCTACTGAGCAAGGAGCCCAACACAGGCTCTATCCCAGGACCTGAGATCATGAGCTGAACCAAAGACAGATGCTTATCCACCTAAGCGACTTAGCCACCCAGGTGCCCCTATGGATAATTTTTAAAGGTATTTTATTAGTTGACATCATGGTCCACAAGCAATAGTTGGATGAGCATCCGTGAATAAGTCTGAGGCTGTAGCCCAATAAAATGTAATAAATTCTATAAAAAAAAAAGCTAATAAATTCTGTCAAGTCAATTTTGGTAATATATAATAGTTATTTTGCATGTTGAAATGCCATTTTAAAGTTAAATAGTTCTTATGTTGTTTATGCCATAAAACCAAATACATGTCTTTTTATTTCAATTTATTATTATTTTTTGTATCTACAAGTGGTATTAATGTGTCCAGTTTCATGTTTCTAAACAACCCTCCCTTCAACTATCCAACTAACCTTTTTCTTTCTCTGTCTTACACATACACACACACACTCACTCCTTAAAACATCATAATTTATTTTATATGTTATACTCAGGTTTGAATTTATGTGTTACGTTTAGATCACAGTTAATTAATTTGAACTTTTTCAATTCTTTTAACCTACTGTTTTTGAATTATTTCTCATGCCCTCACATGCTTTGGAGCTATGATCTTCAAATGTTTTTGATGGAAAAATCCATCAGTTAATATTAAATATATGCTCAAATATATGCACATTATTTATAAACTATGTAAATTTATCACTATGATTATAGATGGACAAATAATAGTAAAAATATGAAATGCTCATAAAAGAAATTTTAAAAGATAGAGTGACAATGTATATATTCTCTCTCTGTGTATAGCTTTTCTCTATAGGTATTCTAGTGGAACTTTGGGAACCCTTGTTCGAGAAATCCTCTGCTTTCTCCTATTTCCATATATCCCCAAAGTTGTATGGGTACTCAAAGACTAACAAACCTCATTTTAAGCATAGATTGGACAGCTATGTGATATACTGCAAGTCAGTGAGTGTGTTTATACATTTATACACACAAATGTGTGTATGCATGGGGATGATGTAGATAGGATTGGTTGGATCAAGAGTTTGAAGTGGCTTAGAGTCATATCCAATGATCTTATCTCAATATTACTCTTCTGGAAAAAAATTTTAAAAAATATTACTCTTCTGGAAAGCTTAGGGACTGAAATAATTCAGACGGACTGTTATAGAGAATCAAACAGCCAAATAAATAGCAAGGAACAATACCTTGTGTCATATGGAATACCTCCAAAGATATTTTGTCAAATTGTTATTTTGGCAAAATTAGATTCACACCATTTATCATCACTGTATGATAGAATTCGTTAGTCATACATATCCTTGCCATTTTTTTTCTCAATAGGGTCCCCAGTGGTGAGCCACCAGATACTATACAATGAAATGGGGGAAATATTAAACGGTCAGAGTGAAAATCATTTGACCCATATGGTTTCTGCCTGGGTAAACCAAAAACCCCATAGGAGTTGTTCTTCACAATGTACCATGTAACTTCCTTTGACTGTTGTGTATGAATCAAGAGCTCCCCATACTTATCCTCTATTTTTTTCATACCTATCCTTTAGAATAGGACCTTATATTTAACTGATGTCAAGCCTTTATTCAAACCTGAAACAGGCAGGGAGGAGGTGAGCTATTCAGGGACAGAATCAGGATTTACAGACTAGCTAGCTTTCATTAAATCTTTAATATAAAAGCCTTCATAATTGCTGATTCCATTTATTTGAGCCCTCTTCTAATTTAAGAACCTAACACTGCTGAACAGGTTTAAGGAATCCATTTAAATGCTCTGTTATCCAGGAATCAATTCTCTACTTCTTATCTTTGAAAATCTCACGTCAAATACCTTGCTGAAATACAGATGTATTGGGTCTACATCATTCCTTTAATGTACCGGTTTAGTAAACTCTCATTAAAAAAAAAAGGGAAAGAAACAAAGAAAGAAAAAAAGAAAGAAAGAGAAAGAAAGAATATAAGGTTTATCTGACCCAACTCAGTAAATCTCAAATGACTTACCTATTTTGGCTTTCTTCATAGGACTCCCATCTGATAGATAATTCCTTTAAATTCAAGGATATTTGGGGGATCAAGTAATGCCTCTCCAAGTTATAGTACATGTAATCTAGCTTGTCTAAAAAATGAAAACAAACAAATTATTACCTGGCATTAGGTTCTCTATACTTAGGCTCTTGCATTTCTTTATGACTTGATCTAGAGACAAAGAAAGCACAGCAGTTTTGCTACCTCATTTTGAATTGAATTTTTCCTGTTCTGTGTTCTGAGCAGTCAACCACTTCAGAAAGGTGTCTGAATTGTTAGATGTTTAAAGAAAATGGGGGGGGGGTTATTTGCTACCTACCCAGAGTGAATTTTAAAGCAACTTGGTACTCAAAATTCCTAGTAAAAAATCACAAATCACAGAATCCAAGTGTTAAGATGAAATATGGTGTGGGTCTAACAAAGTGGTTGATTTGTCTCTGAATAAACCATGTGCAGTGTTTATGACATAGGGACTCACTTCTCAGACTTCCAAGATTTTCTTAATTGGAATTTTTCTAATTAGGTAGACCTCCCATAGTGACTTCCTCCTTCCTTACCCATCACCAGGCCCTCATTAATTCTTTTCTTTGCTGTAAGTCTTTCCTTTTTCCAGACATGTCTTTTAAGAGTTAATATTCACTCAATAACTTATGTTTCCTCTTTTCAGTCCATAGCTTTCATGCTTGAACTCATCTACTCTTGTAGCATCAGATATTATTTATATCTAGTGACACTCAAATCAATATGTCCTCTTAAGATCTCATTCTTGAGAATATCAGCAAATGTATTTGATAGCACATTAGCTTCTTAAATTCCAATATATTAAAATTGAACTCACAATATTTTTCCACAAACTTACTTTTTTCTTTCTCATTTCTATGAAAAGAAATACCATCTACCCAGTTTCCCAAAAAGAAACCTGAAAAATATCTTGGATTTCTCTCTCACCACTCTTATATCACCCATGAAGTCTTGTTAATTCTACCTTTGGACACGAGGAATGTCACAGGAAGTAATAAAAAATGTAAAATGTATTTTTAAACCATTTTGAAACACCTCAGTGGAAACTAAATTCATTAAGGAAAATAAAATTATTGTTGTAGTCTAAAACACAGACAAAAAGATAATTCATCCCTAAGTAAAAGCTAATGCCATAGTGTTTTATCATTAAGTTCATTGTATTTTTACTATAAACTCCAATCTCTTTAATTTTATTTCATTAATCCTTAGCATTTCTTGCCCATAATGCATATGCTTATATCTTTGCAGGGTCATTATTTATCATTTTCCAATAACCATGGCAGGTATAATGTTAAAAAATTTCCATTATGTGATAAAATCAGTGAGAAAAGAATTAAGTACCATAGCTGTTTCCACATGCTGTGATTTAAATATATATATATATTTCTCTAATCCTTTTGAATTGAATGGAACATATGACATACGTTTGCATTGATTGTGTTTTAGCACCTTTTTCTTAGCAATTTCCTTTTTTTAACCTTTTAATTTTAATTCCAGTATAGTTAACATACAGTGTTATATTAGTTTCACGTGTACAATATGGTGGTTCAACAATTCTATACATCATTACTTAGTGTTCATCAAGATAAGTGTACTTCTAATCCCTGTCACCTATTTCACCACTCCCCCTGTCCATTTCCCCTCTGATATGCTTTATTTTAAATGAGCACTCTCAGTTAAAGTCATTGATTTATTGTTTTTTAACAGGAACATTTTTCTTTACTCAAAACATACTTCAATGTACATAGTTCTGAAAGATATATATAAAACATTCTATCCATGAAAAATATCATTCACATTTTCTTCAAGTACACACAGAAGAATTCCTGGTTAAATCACTTAAAAAGAGACATAACAAATATTACAAATTTAAGAAGATTGAAATCATACCAAGTATATTTTCCAACCATAATGGTATAAAAATAACAATCAAAAATAAAACAAAGCTGGGAAATCTACAATGTAAATATTAAATATCTACACTACTGCATAAGCAATGGAAAAATAAGAAATCAAACAGTGAATCAAAATATGTCTCAAAACAAAAGTAAGAGAAAACACAATATTCCAAAAACAATGAGATGAAGCAAAAGCAGATTTTAGAGTGAAATTTATGTTATAAATGCTTGTATTAACAAAAAGAAGTGTAAATAATATTTAAACCACAAGGAACTAGAAAAAGAAGAAAACTTAGCTGAGATTTAGTAGAGGAAGGGAATAACAGGGAAGAATCAGAAATAAATGGAGACCAGACTAAACAATAACATAACATTGAGAGTTAAGACCATTTTTTCCAAAAAAATAAAGTTGGCAATGTTTTAACTTCATTAAGTGACAGAAAGAGAGAGAGAGAGAAAGAGAGAGAAGACTCAGAAACCAAAATGAGAAATGGAAGAGAAAACGATTCAACAGATTTATAGAAATATATAGCATAATAACAGATTACTATAACAATTATATACTAACAAATCAGATAACTTAGAAAAAAAAGATAATTACTAAAAATGCACAAGTTACCACAATTGGATT